AGAATGAAAAAAATAATGCGTACCAAACAGGAGCTTAATAGTATTGTTGATGGTAATTCCGTTTGAATCACCAACGTATTTTAATTCTAACCAAAATAATCAACAAATGTTGATTTCAATGAAAATCATCAAAAGTTATATTGTCAATGACTATATCACCAAAATAATGTTGGTGTTGTATTAATGGGTGATGGTTTAATGATACAAGAAGGAAGTTTTTTGGCAGATTTTGATAAAAGTTGATGAAATATGCGTTTGAAAAGTTGTGAATTTCGTAAAATATGTTATTAAAATTAGTAGGTAACTTTAACAAAGTTATAACTTGGAGAAATAACGCAGTATATACTAAACTGTCTGATTCTTGAAATGGATTCCCTGTAAAAATATTGGAGAACATGCTACAGTGAAAGATTTTCAGGTAGTGGAAGGGAAATGCTTCAGAATCCCCATCTATCTGTGGAGGTCGAAGTATCAGGCCATGGCATGGATTCTCTGATAGACAAGCCAGTCGGGATCTTTTCTAGCTGCAGAATGCAGATCCGCGTAGTTTGCTCCTGATATCGTTTCTTGTCTTTCAACTAAACGAGGGGAATAGCGCGTAAAGATTTATCTACCTTTCTCAGTCCCTAAGGCCATAATGCTGCTGGATATGTTTTTCAGCATACTGAAATCATCCATTTGACATATTAGTTGATTTATATCCTTCGCGTAATCTGGTTTTTCAAAAGAATTTTCAACTTCGATTTTGTACCTTGAGGTACTTGAAATTAATTACTTTTACTGACCTGCTTCTTCTCCATGGATCTTGCAGTTGACTGAGGAATATAATGTAGCTACCAACCTCTTCAGCACTTGTTCAATCCTCTATTTGGACAATTATTTTTGGAACTATGAGAATAATTTCTTAAGAAATTCATTAAAACAAGACTAAATGCTTGTGAAATCACAAAGATCTGAACTATGAACTCACAGTGCCTCCAAATTCAGTGGTGGATTAGAGCTAAGTGCTGGATTGAGGAATTGCATGTAAAGCAGGCTATATGAGGAATAGCAGATAAACCAAGCCCTCATCGGCATCAGGTGCTCAAGAGAGTGCTTGAAATGTCCTGTTTATCTGAGGTTCAGCGAAAATCCTGTACGCACAGGAAATAGATTTGACATTGATATTGGGAGTACAACTTGATGCCTGGCATTTGAAAGACTTCTATAGCAGGAATATATGCAATTAGGAGTGATTATTGCTTCTTTGTTAAGACAAGAAGATCATGAAAAAATATGTGAACGCTTACGCCTTCTTACTACAAATTCACGTAAGTGTAAGCTGTTACTGCCACGACACTGTCCCACTGAGAGCAGTTTGTTCAAACCCAAAAATAATAACCCACTCCAAATTTCACTATATTATTAAGAAAGAAAGACTGCCAATGTCTTGAGTATATTTAAAACGAATACGCATAAGACATTCAGTATGCTCGATTAGACACAAGGCTAAATGAATCAACTGAAGGCTTAGTCTTCTTTTATGTCTTGTCCAATGTACAAAATACGTATGTTTTATATTAGCACCGAATCTCCAAATTTTGATCCAAAATTTTGAATGACACTTGCAGAACTCCATCAGGGTTTTCCTGCTGTCCTTTTAATTTAATTCCCAGATTTTGGGCCTTCGAACTATATGGGAGATAATTCTTGACCATTCATCCTACTATAAAAAAAAAAGAAAGAAATGTATTTATTGTTAAGGGTAAAATCCCATGTCACTTAAATATGAAAACATTAGTATCACTGTCAAAAAATATCACCATGCAATACACCTGTCTAAAAACTTTAAACGAAATATTTTATTCCATATTCCATTACGGAATATATGGATCGTATCCGCAGGCTCACAGATGAACTATCTCTTATTCAACAACCAACGAGTGATCGATTGGTGTTCTTGAACAAGGGACCATCGTGCAGGGTATATACGATCATTTTATATACAGAAAAAAAAAATAAATAAATAAATAACTCACCACATCCATGAATATATTCACAAGGCTAATTGGAATTCTGGAAACAACCTCAATTGCCCTAGATGCTTCAGATTCATCACAGGGCTGTGTGCATTAACTTTCATTTGGAATAAATTTTACACTTCCATTAAAGTTTGGAAGCTCTGCAGGCCCTTCTCCCATTGTAATCACTCTGATTATCTCTTCCCAAAGTTGGGTCGAGTGATGCAAATCTTCTACTGTACTCGGTACAATTCAGAACCTCGAGACTCCTGACTAGATCAAAAATCCTTTAAGGGTTCTCGATCTTACACCATTTTCTTTAGCTCTTCACTTGTTGCCAAAGATTGACGGATGATTATTCCCTTGTGTGTCTCAGAACAAACTGAGCCCGATATAAGGGGATCACTCGCACTTTGGATAGTATTAAATTTCCATTATGAAGTAAATCGTTCATTCTTTAAGGAGAAATTGGAAGATTCGAGGACAGGGTCTTTTAGAAGTCTATACTGTCTAGATTACAGGCACACGAAATAGATTGGACATCAATATTGGGAGTATAACTTGACGTCTGGCATTGAAAGACTTCTACATCCAAATTATATGCAGTTGTGTTAAGACAACAAGATCATGAAAAATCTGGTTCGGCCGACGCCTTCTTACAACAAATCCATGAAAGAGCGAACTGTTACTTCAGAAATTATGCCACAACACTGTCGCACTGAAAGCAGTTTGCTCAAAACGAAAATGTAACCCAGTCCACACTTCACTATATCAGCAACAAAGAAAGACTGCCCGTAAATGCAATGACAGAAAAGGGACCATGGAGCATATGTTTCAACTCCCTTCGACTGAGCTTATATGGGGAAATGTAAAATTAAGCAAAACTTCGAAGCAGCAAATTATTGTGACTCTTTTATGGCACATTATGTGGCTTTACATGGCAAGAATGATAAGAAAGGGCAAAGAAAAATATGAATCCTTAGGTGCTCTTGTATGAAATAAGTACTGCAGCAGCTAAGTATTATTACTTGCAAGAAGCAAACATCAGTAACCATATCACACTGCAAGGATACCTACCTCAGATAAAGCATAAAAGTTAAAATTTGCACAAGAATGGAATATTTAATTGACTGTATTATTACTTGCCTCTGGGAAACATTTAGTAACTTTGGTCCTCACTTCTATTCCTCCAAAAAGTTCCTAATAATCAACTTGTAGACCAAGTATGTGCGAATGGTGCGATAAGAGATCTAACATCTCCCATAAATTCAACCATGATTAGCACAAGAATGTTTTAATAAACTCTGAATTTTTACTAGAATCCCTTCGTATTTCAATTTGATTCTTTACCAGCTGAACTTGCTCAGGATCAAATCTTGGATTCACCTCATTCTCTGTAATGGTTGATTGATTCTCCAACCAAAACCCAGCAATTCCACAATGCAAAACAGAGAAAATACTTCACAATACGCAAATTCAACTGTGAATCCACACTAAAATTGTAATGGTATTACACTGAATTGTTTAATTGAAATGCAGTTAAACAGAAAGGAGGTGAGAGGGAGAGAAATACAGAGAAGATGGCGAAGAAAAACGAATTCTGACACTTAACAAACTCACCCCCCTGCTCCACTCGTTTAAGTAATGTAAAAGAAAACGTCTGTTATAATCTATAAAACGTAATAGCTAAAACAATTTAAATGAAAAGCTGAACGGCATCGTTTTGGATTTTGAATTTCAGGTACGGTCGTTGAGTCCTCTTCTTCCTCCTTCCCCATGAGCTTCCTTCTGGTTCTTTGTTATAACATTCTCCGAGTCCATTATCCCCTTGTTCTCTTCCTACTTAAGCGTTGATTTTCTTGATTGTACGCCTTCTTGTGGATTTCTTTCATTGTTCTTGAGCACTTTATCCTAGTCCTCTTGAGACGTTTTTCAACTTCCTTGTACTTGTTATTCAGGTCCAACTGTATGGAAGTTACGGCATTCGCATCAATTGGATTTCTCCTCATCTTCACCACACTACGATCACCATAAATTTTTTTCAGGTACTTCAAATTCAAAACAGTGAGGTAATCTTCAATGCAGACCATTTCATTCGGATTTCTTTTCAATTTCTTCAGCATTTGATCCACGGCCTCCATGGTTGATTGAAGAGAATGATACTCCATGTCAACTTTATACATTTCATCTTCGTAATTAGACATGATTTGTTTATAATTGTTCTTCTGTGCTCCACCTCCAGCACTCGTACTCCTGGAAAAGAAACTGAGATTGGCGTCTTCTTCAACCCTTGAATTGGCCTCATAGTAATCCGTTAAAATCCTTGAAAACTCAATCTCCAATTCCGGGTGATCCTTAAATATAACACAAACCTCCATACGAACCTGAGCAATGTTCTTGAACTTCCCCAAACCATTAACAGCATCAAGAAACAATTTATACTTGTAATCATCCTGTAAAGTTTCTGCCACCCGGTTAACAAATTCAATACAGAGTTTTGTTTTTTCCCTTCCGTCGTCTTTCACCTCGTCTCTCCGACACTCATCAGATGATTTTTTTAACGCTGTTGGAACACAAACAGGAGCGGTATCTCTGTCTCCGGCGACGGCCATCTGTAAATTCTTTGGGAAGAAATTGTGAAACAGTGAAATCAGGTCTGCGTGATCATTGAACATAATCTCCACCTGTGAAATTAAACTTTCTGGGTCTGTAAGTCTTCCTCTGAACATTGCAAAGATGTTACAAAATTTTCGATAAACGCTTTCTTGATCTTGAAATCGTTGCTTGACAATCTCAACGAATGAAAGGGCCTCGTTGTAACTGGGATTAAACTCCATGATTTCTCAGTAAAGGAAAATCAAATGCATTAATTTGTATTCAGAATATGCCATTTCAGATTTATAGAATTCGTGAAGCCGAGTTCTAATTCAATTAGGCTTGAAACAGAATAGAATTTTCTTTGTATATTCTTCAACTGGGTCTCCTGAAGGATTCAGAACTCTTTTGCTTGCAAGTACAGTTGAAATTTGTTGCCAAAATCCATTTCACGCACGCGTGAATTTTCTACCAGGGTTTAGATAAAACGTTAAAACAATGGGAAAATTGCATTGTTGGTCATCAATATTTTGACTGAGTTCAGGATAGTCCTCAATCTACCAAAAAAAGAGCAAGTTGATTCTCGACCTTTTTTAATTTGATATTCAAGAGGTATTTGACTCTCAAATTTCTAGATTTTTTTATGAAAAATTGTCATCATGCTTAATTTTAAATAAAAGAGAGAAAACAAAAAATATCATTTTTTTTTCTATTTTCTCTATTTATTTGTTATTAAAATTATTTATGATTTTACCAATTTTACTATTGAAATAAAAATAAATATATCAACTAAAGAAGTCAATCGTAACTTTGTATTTTGTCTTTAAAGTAGTAAGCAAAAATCGAGGAGCAATTTATTTATTTATTTTTATCGTTCCTTGCCAAAATTGACGTTGTTATTTCACCGGAAAAAGGAAAAAAGAAAGAAAGAATTTCTATATATCCATCCTTGCTAGTGTTTATAATGATTAATTGTTAGGATTGAGTTTGAACTATCTCATCTGAAAAAATAACCATCAATTCTTACTACTGAAACTCAACACCACTCCATCTTCAAATCTAACCATCGCGGCAAAATCGTGAACCCCAATGGTCTTGGCTCAACATCCCAAAAATCCTAACATGATAACTCTCACCCTCGCCCATAGCACGGGTTATGCCAACTGAGTCGGACCGGCTAAGGACGATGTGTAGGAATGGTTCATTTCATAGTCATTCTCACATTCTGCTGGCAAAAGATGGTCCGGAAGGAAATGAAATGCATCAACCAGTGCCACAGGCACCCATGGCTATGAGAGTTTTCAGGTTATCTGACAACGATGTACAGCTACAGAGTAGTTCTATTAAAATTACTGATAGGAAAATGTGTTATGGATAAGAATCGCATCGAGTTAGAGATAGGCCTCTTTTGAAGTATCCTAATAATCTTGACAACGTATTAATGGGTCCAACACTGGAAGGTCAATATTCAATAAAAGGTGCCAATATATTGGTTGTATGGGAAAAGTTCATGGGTCAGGTGTTTACTATTTCAAAATTAAAAATCAGGCCCAAAAGTTTAAAATTACAAAAATCAGGTTTTTCTTAAATTAATTAATTGCATTTCAGAATTATTATATTAAATTAAATATTTAACTGTAATATAATAAAATCACCCCACCTCACCCCACCTACACCACCACCATTGCTCCGGCTACTACTCCGGCGACCGGCGACTGCTCCGATCCGACGACTTTTTCGAGGTCACAGATCAAGAAATTTGTAGGTCACAGGTTATTTCGAGGTCACAGATAAAAAAATTTGTAGATCGCAGATTATTTCGAGGTCACATATTTAAAATTTCATAGGTCACAGATTATTTCGAGGCCACAGATGAAAAAAATTAAGGTCACAGATTC